CTCACTATAAATAAGCAGGTGTAGGTTAAAAGATTAGTTCTTCTTTGAAACTGTAGCCCGGGAAACACCTCCTTGCAGAACAGCTCCTCTGCCTCTATGGCAGATACATCTTGACCACACTGTTGCCAATTTGGTCTTTGAGGTGTGGTGGTAATCTATGCAGCAGTGTACATCACTGCCTTGTATGCTACCAGTTACTTTTGCTGTGGTCTTTGGCCTGTACTGCATCATGTTTCAGTTCCCATCTTAATGAATGTACCTGCCACCCCAACAGCATAACAGCATGACTTACAGATGATAATGTAGTCAAGGGCTAAATTTAACACCCCCACCACCAAAGCTGATCATTTCTATCTGGCTTTGTGACTGCCTGCATTAGGGTTCCCAGAGTTTACCACAGCTGAATCGAAGCAACAAATAGCAGTAACTGTGTTCAGATGTTTGGCAAAACTCTCCAATACATACTACTCACAAGGTGAAGTGGGTCACTGAAATAACTAGACTGGGTTTATTTTCCCACCTGCACATTTAAAGTTAAAGTCATTTAATATGTTATTGATATATAAGGTACATGTGGATCTGTAGTGTTGAGTGGACTATGGGTAACAACTATGGCCATAATGGCTCTGAAACTGTCACTGCATACTAACAAAAAGTAGTTAACCACAGAAATTCAAAACTAGATACTCTGCCAGCTTTGCTGCCATTTTAATATGCACCACTGATCTTACTGTACCACACTGACAACATTGTTCATTTATTTGAACTCATTTGCATAATGCTGTGTGCACTCTCTGCCATCTGCCACACTTCTCTCTCTGCTCTGGTTTGAACCTCCCCAGGTGAGTTCCTGACTATGTGAGCATCTACAGGCCATACTTGACTGACATCTCCCTGACTCTCCTGTTAGTTTTTTTGCACCTGTTTGGGTGGGACATCTTACAGCTTTCACTCCTTTAATGTGTAAAGTTTTTTGACCTCACATTTGGCCTTAGTCCAAATGGCCAGGTCATTCATAATAAATAAATCATTAACATAACTCAGTATGTGTAATGCTATCAAAATAGTGCATCACACTCTGATGAATTACATTTTTCAGTAAAAGATAAAGGAAGTATTTGCAGAGATTAGTGCTAGTGTAACTGGACCAGAATGCTGTGGTCATACCAGACCTTGCCTGGTGAGATGTACTCATGTGCTAAGGCAAGGTCTGGCATGACCACAGCATTCTGGTCCAGAAAATAACATGGGCAGAGTATTTAAACTAAATAACTTCTTATCAAATGCTTTGTTATCCTTACCCTCTGTCGCTGTCCCTGCACTCACTGCAGCCAAGCAGCATCCCTCTTTCTCTGTTGCTTGTATTTATTTGTCATGCAGTTTTATAAACATTCAGATTTTCCTAACCTCACCCCCTCTCTTAAATCAAACTGACTTGATACTGGCGAGCCTCAAGATTTTACATCCATAAGCAAAGTATTCATGTTCTGCTCTTCACTGAAATGATTGGGCAGCAAAATCCAGAGTGACTGCAGCTCGAGAAGAAGTATATGTTAAATGGACTGCTCTTATATAGCGCTTTTCTACCATACCTGGACAAAGCCTTTACAGGTTCACCCATTCACACCCACAGGTGGAAGGCTCCTGGCCAGTGGGACCAGCTAGATGCTCAGTGTCTTGCCCAAGGACACTTTGACATGTGGACTGGGGGAGAACGGGAATCAAACTGCCAACCCTGTAATCAGGGGTTGACCTGCTCTACCCCTGAGCCAAAGCTGCCCCACATTGAATATGTAGTGGTTAGTTTAAGTTCAGTTTCATAGTCCCAAGACCTTTAGCCATAACACATAAAATACAACTCCAGTAATATTAAAACAAGATCACTACAGTTTATAATTGGTCTTTTGACAGCAGCCTTAAAGGAAATCAGACCATGGAACATCTGTAACTGCAGACAGCCAACCAAAATTTCTGACATACCAGATGTCCAACCAGTCGTCCAAGAGCCATCATTTAGGCAGTTAATGAGGTGTCATGACTCTCTTCAAACTGCACGTGAAATGACAACCGATCTCGCAGAGATTTGAATCTGAAATTAGTCAGGAGCGACCAGTCTGGGGTAGGAAGGGGGCTTTATAGTGTATGCCCATGTAAACAGGTCCTTATTCTAGATGAATTGCAGGTTGATACAGATTCTGCAACCTCTGCTCTTTAGTAATACACAATTGCAATTGGTTCATTGGAGATTTTAAGGCTTTATGCACTGAAGTGCTCTCTTTCAGTTAAATGTGAGCATACCAAACATGTATCTCAGAGCATTTTGCCTTTTCTCGTTAGTGAAGTCTTTTTCACACATGATCTAGTTTAACTCTGATATAAGTACTGAGGGTTTGATGCCCAACACCACATTTACACTATTGGTATCTAATAATTCATTTGTTTCTCCTCTCCTGCCATTTCATCTTTCTGTCTCTCTGCCTTCATCCACCTCCCTTTATATTTCTCTAATGTTATTTTATGAGGTGCAGTCTTTGAAAATCTGCTCTGTGTGGGTTTTATTTGATAAATGATTGACATCTCAGAGTACACAGAGCACAACTGATTTCTCCAACATGCTGTGTCACCACTGTGGGCTTGTTGCCCAGTTTGGGCTGCTTTAGTTGACTCAAGCCTATTAATCAACCCTAGACCTAAACATAGTTATAACTCATTTGAAAGTCTCACCCTGGGTCTCTCACACCCAAACTGGAAAACTCAAAAGCCTGTTCTGTTTGTTATTGTATACCGTCCACCTGCTCCTTATTCAGAGTTTTTAAGTGAATTCTCAGACTTTCTGTCTGATTTAGTGCTTAGTACAGATAAAATAATCATAGTAGGCGACTTTAATATTCATGTAGATGCCGACAATGACAGCCTCAACAATGCATTCTGTTCATTATTAGACTCAGTTGGCTTCTCTCAAACTAAATAAACCCACTCACTGTTTTAATCACACTCTTGATCTGGTTCTGACATATGGCATCAAAACTGAACACTTAATAGTTTTTCCCCATAACCCTCTTCTGTCTGACCATTTTCTAATAACTTTTGAATTTCCATTAACGGATTATACTCTATGTGGGAAACAATTCCACTACAGCAGATGTCCATCTGGCAATGCTGTTACCAAGTTTAAGGAAATAATTCCATCTTTATCTACTTCAATGCCGTTTGCCAACACAGTGGAAGGAGGCCACCTTAACTTTACTCCCACACAAATCAATAATCTTGTTGATAGTACTGCAGCCTTCCTGCGTAATACACTTGATACCATTGCCCCTCTGAAAAAGAAGGCAGTGAAACAGAGGAGGCTAGCCCCGTGGTACAGCTCGCAGCTCCGCTCCCTAAAGCAGGCATCACGAAAAATGGAAAGGAGGTGGCGCTCCACTAAGTCAGAAGAGTATTTCATAGCCTGGAAAGATAGTTTAATAACATATAAGAAAGCCCTTCATAGTGCCAGAACCACATTTTATTCATCACTGATTGAGGAAAATAAGAACAACCCCAGGTTTCTTTTCAGCACTGTAGCCAGACTGACAAAGAGCCACAGTGCTGTTGAGCTTAACATTCCCTTAGATCTCAGCAGCAATGACTTCATGAGCTTCTTTACAAATAAAATCACAACTATTAGAGAAAAAAATTGGTCGGACCACTCCCACAGCTCTCGCAGATGTGCCATCTACTACAATGACTTTAGAAACATCTGTAAGACCTCATTTATACTTGGACTACTTCTCCCCTATAGATCTCTCTGAGTTGACCTCAACAATTGCTTCATCTAAATCATCAACATGGCTCCTGGACCCCATCCCGACCAGGCTGCTCAAAGACGTCTTTCCCCTAATCAACACATCCATACTAGATCTGATTAACCTCTCTCTATTAACAGGTTATGTTCCACAGGCTTTTAAACTTGCAGTAATTAAACCTCTACTCAAAAAGCCTACTCTTGACCCAGGTGTCCTAGCTAATTATAGACCAATATCCAATCTCCCATTTATTTCCAAAATCCTTGAAAAAGCTGTTGCAAAGCAGTTATGTGACCACTTGCACAAGAATGATTTGTTTGAGGATTTTCAGTCAGGATTTAGAGTCCATCATAGTACAGAAACCGCATTGGTGAAAGTCACCAATGAAATGTCCACACAAGAAAGGTGTTCCATCAGGGGTTGGTTCGCACAAGTATATAAAGACAAACACACACGCACACACCACATGTCAGGAATCGGCGCGTTATGCTGCCAAAAATGTTGAGGGTGAACTCAATTAAAAGGCCAGACAAGGAAATGTAAAACAAAACCGTCTCTTTAATAAGAGAACTAACGCTAAACAAAACCATACAAGACACGGTGAAACACAAAAATCACAGGTCGGTATAAACAGTCCGAGATCAGAGCCAGCAAACACATACAGCAGAGGAATCCAAATACGTAGTCCAAAGGGAAGTCCGATAATTATACACAGTGACAGTCTGAAGCAAGAGGGCAAGGCAGAACAGAATAGTCAGAGGAACAAGCCGGGTCAAAAACACAAAGTACCAAAACCGAAAAATGCTGGAGAGTGAGAGGTGGCGTCTAGAACAATCTGGCTGGGATTGGTGGGTGAAGGCTGCTTATGATGCGGTGCAAACTATAATGAGCAGGTGAAACTAATGCGGGTGATGAAGAAAGTAAAAAGACCAAAACTGTGGTGAAACAAAACAGGACGTAGCATCAAAATAAAAGCCTGACAGGAAGCAACACAGAACCGAATCATGACACCACACACACACACACACACACACACACACACACACACACACACACACACACACACACACACCACACACACACAC